AAATATGTACATAATATCTCATCTCAGAAATACAAAGATGAGGATAAATATGTCGACAAAGATGAGGACAATAGTGAATAATGTAAATAGTGTACATAATACATCTTCTCAGAAATATAGACAGATACTGAAAGGCGAAAACGTTGTAATAAATATGTCGACAAAGATGAGGACAATAGTCCGAATAAAGTAAATAGTGTACATAATACCTCATCTCAGAAATATAGACAGATACTGAAAGGCGAAAACGTTGTAATAAATATGGCGACAAAGATGAGGACAATAGTCTGAATAATGTAAATAGTGTACATAATATCTCATCTCAGAAATATAGACAGATACTGAAAGGCGAAAACGTTGTAATAAATATGTCGACAAAGATGAGGACAATAGTCTGAATAATGTAAATAGTGTACATAATACCTCATCTCAGAAATATAGAGATGTGTAATAAGTTGTTTCATTCATTCTTTCAGCAAATAATAACTTTGCTTCATTGAGGACACGCTTGCACTCATTACGAGCAGAGGCAAAAAGACGTCTGTTGCAATTAGACATGTCGCTACGGTACAAACGGGAGAAGTGATTCCCATGAGCAATAGCAGCTGAGTACGTAGCCAATAACAAGATGAGAGCGATTTATCTTTATATTTTATTGCAGGGATGAAAGCCTCGATCCCAGCTTTTACACAGGAGGAAACCTCAGACGGACATTTTTTAACGGGAAGGTTAAATACCACATTCCAGGGTACATCGCGAAGGAAATTACGGAACGAGTCCTAGTCTGCTCGTTGATAACAGAAAGATATTCTGTTAATAAAAGATTCTTTGCTGGGGGAGGAGTAGAAGGAGATTTTAACAGATACTACGGAATGATCAGAGTTGCCAAGAGGGCAACGTGGCACGACAACACTCGGGGATGGAGATAAAACAGATCGAGAAGGGAAGCCTTACTGTCAGGATGACTGGGGAAACGCCTAGGAAAGTCAACCACTTGTGTGAAGTATTCAGTAATTGAAAAGTTAAGGTTATACCATCAAGGTCAGTTACAGAGTGTTGAAGTCACGTGGTATGGTAGGCGTTAAAGTCACCGAACACGAATATGTGTGCAAACGGATGTAAAGAGATAGCCTTGTGTATATTATCGGAAATGCTATCGAGTACACCACAGTATTGGGAGGATGGAGAGCGATAGAGAAAGAAGAGATTGCTTACAGAATTAAGGAGAGATAGACGGAGACATATATAAATGGTTTGGAGATTCAAGAGAGAGTTTCCTAACCAGTGAGAGATGATCCAGGGCGTAAACTCCCAGGCCGTGCACGTGGATTTTAGAGTCCTTTCTAAGGAGAGGAAGATAACCGGGAATCGAGAAATCAAAGGAGGAGATTGACGAGTTAAGGTTGGTCTCGCAGAGAGCTAGTATACCAGGAGACTTCTCAAAGAGGAACGATTCCACACTGTAGAAGTTGGTTCCAATGCCACGGATATTAATATTTTAAATTTTAATGACTAGTTAATTTCATTAATACTTCATTAGTACTTCATTAGTACTGTGGGGTGTTTAAAAACTACACATTTTTTCCTTAATATGCAGCAAGTTGCTAATCAAGTCTGTAACGGGCAGAGGTACGGTGATGTTTGGGGCCAACTCCTTGATTGTATGCCCCTAAGACTCAAGTAGGAGGGGGCCTATAGGACCTAATACTGAGAAATGTTAGAAAGGAAGACATTTTAAATATGTAAAAACAGATGAAACATGAAATAAACACTTTATTCAAATTAAATATAAACTACTTTTTTTTCATTTTACTCTTAATTGGATGTCCTCCCGATATGTTTGCCCGGGTCCGTCGCACCTCTGCCTTCCCCTTCTGCCTCCTACTGTCTCAAGTTTCCTTCAAGTAACTTTCTGAAGACCTCTTTCAAGTAACTACAAAGTGTTTCTGGTTTTGGTCGTCATATTTTCATTGAAATTAGTTTCATTTGCTTAGCGTTGAGAAAGTGCCTAATGGAAGAGTTACTTATTTGTTTCGTTACATGGTGGTCCGAAAGTCTTGTCACCCCCTCTGTAATATAATTTTCTATTTTAGATGGCTGACACGAAAATGATGGATGTTCATACAGACCTCCTCGATGTGTGACAGCGTCAATGAAAGTGGATAAACTGAATCCAGTACATGTGCTTTCTATTACTTGTTCTATTATGCTTATTACTGTTTTTTATAGGGTGACAAGACTTTCGGATCAGCCTGCATTTCTCTGATTTGGAGACAAGCCTTTTAATTTAATTTCCATTGTACAAGAATAAACATTTTTTGTATATCTGAATTTTGAGCTCAGAATTTGCTGAAAACTGTCGAATGTTTCGTGTCACTTTTTTCACTTTGAAACCTTCACAGGTTTATGAACGTAAGAATTGGACATTATGAGGATATGTAGGATAGATAACGGTTGAACTTTTTTTTTAAGGAAGCGGGTTTGATTACAAGTCCTCGGACTTTTTTAACCCTCCGTTTATACGGTGAATTTTTTTTTTTTTTTTTTTAAATATCCTTCAAAATATTTTCCTGTTTCTTGCTTCCCAGTCAACTTTCAAAATTTAAATGTAATCGTTATCTTCTGTCTTCTTAATTCTTTTATTGGCCTCTCTCTTTAATATTAGTTTGTTTTTGTTTTTTTATATTCTCTAACAATCAGTAAACCCTTGCGTCTTAGTGGCTTTATTTCCTTACTTGGGGCGAAAGGATTAAAAAAAAAAAGCGTTAAGCCAAATTTTCATTAAGTAGTTTTCTGAAGACATCAGTCGAGTATCTATAATGAGTTTCTGGTTTTAGTCATCATATTTATATTGGAATTACAATCAGTTTAATTTGTTTAGGGTTGAGAAATTGTCCGTCGTATTCATGAAAGCGTTATTTATTTACATGTTTACTTACTTTTCAGACTTTGAGAGACAAAACTTTTAAATTAATTTGTATTATCTCTGAAATAGTACAAATTAATTTAGATCTATATCTGACTTTTAGTCGTTGACGCCAAACTGCGATAAGGTCCAATACAAGCCGATGTCATTCTATGGACACCCACACGTGATACTTTTGTTAAATGATATCTGACTGGGATATTAACCCACCGTTAGTGGTTGAAAACTCTACACAATGTTTTTTTTTTTTTTTTCATAATACGAAGGTTAATAAAAAAAAAAGAATACAATTTGTTTTATTATACTGATTTTCAAAGCGTATCTTAGATATGGCTCAAGGCCGAAAGTATGAGGCACCCAGTGAGACTCGAACTCATTCTCCAGTTGCAACTGTTTTAGCGAGACAGGCTTGCTAACCATTACACGGACTTGAGGCGCCACAATTTGTTTCATTATATGACAAATAAGGAACGCATTCAAATATATACTACATCAAGATCTCTATCTATAAAAGGCAGGATGTGTGTGTGTGTGTGTGTGTGTGTGTGTGTGTGTGTGTGTGTGTGTGTGTGTGTGTGTGTGTGTAACGAATGCACGGCCGCCATTTTCGACGGATTTGCACCAAAATTTACATGCACATGCTCCAAGTTAGCGCGAAGGCCAACACCGACTTTGCATTTCCCAACTCCCATCGATAATGGAAATAATTTTTCATGCTTCTACGGCAGTTTTCATGTAGTTTGCGGCCATTTTCTACTGGTCAGAGTAAGAGCCAATAGCTGGCTGCCATGAATAGGCAAAAAGATTCTATTGGCCAGCGTGAGAGCCAACAGCTGACTTACACGAATGTTAACTAGCATGCAAAAAAATCGATAGCTGCATTCGTCACAAGTGGGAAAAATTTAAATCTGCATGGCTTTCTGCATTGGTAGACCAGGTTCTGGACGGCTACATTAGAAAGACGCACACCAAAATTTCAAGAGCAGCAGTAAAAAAAAAAACTATACGTTGTCTACAGCAGAGATCAAAGTAAATATGACACCAAGAATGTTAACACGGGTTGTTGGGAATCGTTTACTTCTCGCAGTACTATTAGCATGTATGTCTCTAGTCCGGATTCCTGCACCGGTAGACCAGGTTCTGGACGGCAGAAAGAAAGAAAGACGCACACTAAGATTTCAAGAGCAGCAGTGAAAAACTATACGGTGTCTACAACAGAGATCAAAGTAAATATGGCACGAAGAATGTCAACACAAGTTGTTGGGAATCGTTTACTTGCAGCACGACTATGGGCATTCATGCCTCCAGCTTGACTTTTACATGCGCTACAACAACACCCTACACGCCTTCGATGTTGTCGCGAGAATGTCATCTAGATGGTGCCCTGTAGACATAAACGTTGGGGCCATAAATGACAACTCTCGCTTTTCGTGCTTGTCAAGGAAACTTTGGACAGCGCCATGTACCTCCAGAATATTGTTCAGTTTGATCTGCTGCCATTTCTGTAACAGAAAGTTTTCATGTTGTTCGCCTGCCTGCACGTTGCCAATACGACTCGAGAATCCCTGCTGACGTTCGATCTACAGACCTTTCCTTCGTTGGAATTTTATAGGTCATGATGGGGCTACGTCTGGCTCTTTCAGTTACCCAACCTACAACTTTTGCATTGTTTTTCCAATCTGTGGAAGAATGTAACGCGCGATGGTCTTCGTCATCATTACGATCATATGCATGTGTGAAACAGGTCAGTGTTAACATCAAAACGAGGACACACATTATATGGAGTCTGAGTGCTGATAAGACACTCCTTATTTTGAAACCTGTACACACATTAATATTTTATATGGGATCATTTACCGTAATTCAGTTGTGTTACTTACACGTTGAATAATTTTAAACATATATTCAACGTACGGAGATAGATAGATAGATAGATAGATAGATAGATAGATAGATAGATAGATAGATAATGAAGAGACAGATATTAAGAGACAGATATAGAGGTAAAGAGACTGATATATATTAAGACATAGATAGATAGATAGATAGATAGATAGATAGATAGATAGATAGATTACGGCCATATCACGTGGAAACACCGGTATTCTTACGATCACCGAAGTTAAGCAACGTTGAGCGTGGTCAGTACCAAGATGGTGATCGCTTGGGAATACCAAGTGCTGTAGGCTTGGATATGCGGATGGTTCAATGGATAATTGTTAATCGGAGAGCCGGGTTCTAATTCTTGTTGGGCTCGATATATTCACTTACGCATAAATACCCTTTGAGAAAGCTATGAATTCCCTTCTCCTTCCTCCAGTTCTAGGTTAATTAGTAAGACTTGTATAACTAAACCCTTATTATCTACAACAACCAAACCAAAAAATATTTCTTACGATATAAAAATAATTCCTGGCTTTAAATAACCTGCAAAGGGTTGATTAACCTAGAAAATGAATCAATCAATAAAATACTGATATGCTACACAGGCATGACTTAGATTTATTTACATTCTCTGGAATATAAACATTGGCCAAAAAGTGAGGGATCAATTTATGTAGTGATTTTAATATACAATTGATCTCCCACTTTATATCCACATTATAATTTCTTTGTTGATAAGCCGCAGAAAACGAATCAATCAATGAAATATTGATTAGCTACACAGGCATGTCTTTTAGATTTATTTACATTCTCTGGAATAATGTATAAGCATAAAAATATCTTAAAATAATTGTCGGATTTCATAATGTGTGACGTCATTTGTTTACATTTGGATACGCACGAGCACATATGAATGTATGTGAGAGAATCATGGAAAATTGTAGTTTAAAAACAGTAAATTCGACCTTGCTAACCGAACGTTCCTCTGTGGCGAAATCGGTTATAGCACGTCAGGCTATAATACGGTTTCGTATAGGATACAGGTTCGATTCCAGTCGGAGGACGCATATTTTCTCTGAAAATTTCTCAGACATTCAGGCCGGTAAATGTTGTTAATACTGTTTATTATAAACAGAGCATTTGCTTAAATATTTGTATCTATAAAAAAAAAAAAAAAGAATGAATAAACATAAAAATGTCTTACATTAATTCTCTGAAATATAAATGTATAGAAACTACGTTGCCACAAAGTGAGGGAACAATTTATATAGTGATTATAATATACAACTGATCCCCCACTTTATATCTACATTATAATTTCTTGTTTGTTTATCTAATTCGGATTAGGCATAAATCCACATGTTCTTCCCTGCAAGACTCGTATCGCTAAAACTTGTCTCAAAAAAAAAAACATCCTTACAATCTAAAAATATTTTCTGGCTTTAAATAACCGTAGAAAACGAATCATTCAAGCAATCTTCAAACTAGTCCCGTTGGTTATTTATGACCTGGCTTCCAAGAAGTGCCATGCATTAAGGCTAGCGATAAAATAAGCCACCCTGAAAATTGCTAATAAGTAACAATTAGCACCCCCCTACGCGTTTCTAATGTTCGTTAATTAATAAATCTGGAAAGTGCCGATAACCATGGAAATCGCTGATAAAACCCCACAATTAAACCCACTTTAGCACCGATTCCTTATCCTTGAAAATTAGCGGGGATTTGCGATTAGTTAAATTAGATGTAATCTAGATTTCTTTTTCTTCTGGATAAGGACGTTAAATGCAGAGGATGTTCAGTTGGTGTAACGCTGTAAGTGAAGTTGGTGAGCTTAGGGTCAGTCAGCTACGTTCACTTTTAGGAGAAAAAAGCATTAATCCGTTTATTTTCTCTCCGGTCATCTATGGGTTAAATATCAAGGTAGAGTGGGCTCTTTAGCCTTGGATAGCAACCAGCCTAAGAGGAGAAAAACAGAATTCGAGACCGACAACAGGAAACCACTTCAGTAAATTTTGGGGATTATTCTAAAATTTATTCGAAATAAATCAAGTTTACCAGGCAGTTCAAATAGTTCTTTGCATCACCCCTTATCAAATACTTTGGTGTAACCTATAAAACAGGTATATGTCTTTCTATAGTTCGTTGGTTGTTTTTGTTTGGCGGCATATCAACATTATTATTTAATGCCGAAATCTAAGTATTCTGTACACAATTTTATGGCTTCAACTCAATCAATAAGTTACGTGCCATGCGTGATACACGCTTTGGCGATCATGTATCTTTTGACTAACGATGCAGATTTTTTCCCGCAGTAGGTTGACATCTTTCCCGAATGCCAGACCCGAACAAATGCCTATCCAAACAAATCCTCTTCTCTTCTTGATCCAAGGATCGGCTCAAAAACACCTTGGCGAGGACAGAAATCAATTTGGTCAATTGGGAGACGGAAGTCGCAGAAAAAAACAATTGGAGAAAAGCAGTCCACGAAAAAACAGTATCCTTGGAAAACAGCAGAAGACAAATAGAAGAGACGAAGAGAGCTCAAAGAAAAGTCAGAGCTCTCCATTCCCTGAACTCTTTTATCCTGCTATGCAGTGGCTGTAGACGTCTCTTCAGATCCAAAAATAGGACTCATTTCATATAGAAGGAAATGTTGATTAGCACTCAAAATATTCGGCAACGAGTTCCGCCAACGACGACGGACAAGAAATGTCGCTAGCACCACCAATTCCATGTTCATACCAAAGTTACGCATAATAAAGTTAAATTTTTTGGAATTTACATATATCTGACAGTGACAAGTAAACAGAAATGATTAATTCGTTACCCGAATGACAGACTACGCTTGTCCCCAAAAATCCTCTTCTTAGAGCAGTCATCTGGAAAGAGACCACGTGGAAGGATCAACTCAAAAACACCATTCTACTTTACATATCTATGCCATTTGATCACTCTAATATTTACGTAATTTGATAACAATTCGCAGGTTAGGTTTTCAAGCTCAAAGACACTTGCTGAGGACGGAAATCAATCCGGTCAATTGGGAGACGGAAGCTGCAGAAAGATCCAATTGGAGAAGATCAGTCCAGGAAAAAACAATATCCTTGGAAAACACCAAAAGACAAAAAGAAGAGACGAAGAGATCCCAAAGAAAAGCCAGAGCTTTCCATTCCCTGGTTTCTCCCCCCCCCCCTACACACACCTACCATGCAGTGGCTGTAGACCTCTCTTCAGATCCAACCTAGGAATTATTTCATACAGAAGGAAATGTCGATGAGCACCCCATATACGAGATCCGCCAATGACGAAGGACAAGCACCACCAATTCCATGTTCATACCAAAGTTAGTTTCAATTCACATATATCTGACAGTGACAAGTAAATAAAAATGATTAATAAATTCGTCACCCGAATGCCAGACATGCGCTTGCCCCCAAAAATCCTCTTCTTAGAAAGCTGTCATCTGGCAAGAGACCACGTGGAAGGATTAGTTCAAAAGCACCTTTCTACTTTACATATCTAAAAAAAATGAATATGTATTAACAACAAAAGTTACAAGTAACAAAGACAATGATGTGTGTGTGACTAAAGAATGTGGAAAGTTTGTGGTCCAAAGTATGTGTAGTGAGTGAATGTGCCTACGTACATGTGTGTGTATATGCCTTTTTTCATGCGTGTTCCGTTGTTTGGAAAAAAGCGAGAGATTTACATCGTTCTCGTATAAACGGAAAAGTAAGAAAGAGAGAGATAAAATTATATCGTGGGGTAGTTATAGTGTTGGAGAGCGTTCCCTAGGGACAGTTTCGAAAATTAGGAGGAAATAACCCGTCAGTCTTTTCAGATCCGACATAGGACTCATTTCATACAGAAGGAAATGTCGATGATCACCCCAGTACTCGTCAACGAGTTCCGCCAACGATGATTCCTTTCTTTTTGTCCAATTTCCTATTTATTTTTAAATATGTCTGTTTCTATAGCCTTTATTAAATTATAATACCGTTAAAACATGAACGCTGATCCGACGAATAATGATGTGTAGTTATTACCATAGGAGAGGGTTGTTTCCCGAAATTTGATGAGCACAGCTGACCGCCTGCGTCATGCTACGCCCTCTTTTATGCGTACAAACGCCTGGATAATCGTCTTGCGACATTCCCACTGGACAAGTTCATTGGTTAAGCCGGAATGACAGATTATTATCTACTTCAATTCCTAATTTATTTGAGCGTTATCGAATCCCGATATCAGTTGGGCTATAAGTGCTGAATGCACAAAAGTCTACGGCACAAATTATGGAAGTCTCTACCCACAGAAGCGTAAACAATTTCCGCTTCAATTTATTTAGATTCTATTAGAGTGTATCAAAAGTAATTTCGATTTTACGGACCTTTATTTCAAAGTTGCCTTCCTCTACACATCCAAAGACGAACTTTGACTACACGATATTATTCTTATTTTATTTATCATTTACTTTGATTTCTGTTGTATACACATATCCTTCCGGTCCCCAACCAGAGACCTAAGATGAGAAATGGCACCATGACATTATCCACTGAACATTTTTGTAAATATATATAATTTTAAATATATATATATATATATATATATATATATATATATATATATATATTATGAAATGGAAAAAGTTCGACAATTATTTTTAAGACATTTTTATGTTTATACATTCTTTTTATAGATACAAATATTTAAGTAAACGCTCGTTTTTATAATAAACAGTATTAACAACATTTACCGGCCTGAATGTCCGAGAAATTTTCATAGAAAATATTCGTCCTCAGACAGGAATCGAACCTGTATCCTATACGGAACTGTCACATGAGAGATTCATGGAAGATTGAAGTTTAAAAGCAGTAACATCGACCACCCGAGTCGAACGCTCCTCTGTGGCCCAGTCGGTTACGGTATGCCAGGCTATATGACGGTTCCGTATAGGATACAGGTTCGATTCCTGTCGGAGGAAGAATATATTCTACGAAAATTTCTCGCACGTTCAGGCCGGTAATTGTTATTATAACTGCTTATTATAAAACAAAGCATTTATTTAAATATTTGTATAAACATATATATATATATTAAGACATTTTTATGTTTATACGTTCTTTTTATAGATACAAATATTTAAGTAAATGCTGTGTTTTATAATAAACAGTATTAAACAACATTTACCAGCCTGAATGTCTGAGAAATTTTTCATAGAAAATATTCGTCCTCCTACAGGATTCGAACCTGTATCCTATACGGAACCGTCATTTAGCTTGATGTGCCTTTAACAGATTTGGCCA